GTGTTGTTCCTTTTTATAATAGCAGTAGACATCACTCTTCTCTGAAGTTTATGGAAACTTTATAGAAATCTCAATGTGGGTTGCTTCTAATTTGCTATATAATTCACATTTGGTTTTCCTCCCCCAGTTCACAGAATTAAGCAAGCCATAAAGTTTTGGAGAAAGGGATGATAGGGTGGTATTGCTACACTAGACTGTTCAAAAGAGAAAAAAATAATATGTTTTTAAAAGGAAAACCTCAGAAAAGACTTCTTGTCATTTTTCGGCTGTTTAATATCTTTATATTATTTTGTGATTCATTCAGAATCTTTCCTCTGCATTTTGATTTTTACTGCTGTAAGCATGGGTGAGAAAAAACATTCAACAGTATTGCCTCTACCTAAGGCTTGGGATAATTAAATATGTTACTTTTAAAGAATTTTGCCATTCGCAATGTATCTTGTCGTCATAAAAATGTTTTTGCTATATATTTTATTTTCTTTTTGTTACCAAGCCTTAAAAATATACTGGCTAAGAGAGACACGATCAAGGAAACAATTCCTGTTCTTTCTGAACCATACCACGGATATGATTGTGAGATTTTTTTTCCCCCTCTGAAAAAGTAAATATAGCCTTTTGCTTGTTTAGAGGAATTACAGAACTTTAGCAACAAATTATTTTTTTTAGAAGGAAACATAAAAGAAGCTGCTAGGAGAAGAATGGAATAAATAAAGTGACAAGTTATCGAGTGAAGAAAAACAGAGTGTAGTATTAGTAATACCAACAAAACTTTATCAGGATTTCTCAGCAAAGGTATTGAAATAGGTAGCCAGTGTGAACAGGAAAGAATCGGGACATTCTGCAAGTTTCTGTGTATCTGTTGGATTTGTGTGTGTTTTAATTCCCAGTCCCATTGTACAACTAGAGGAAAAGAGGAAAAAAAAAAGGGGGGGGGAAGTCAAAGGAAAAAATCCATCCTTGAACCACAGCCTGCAGATTTGGGGAGCTAAAGCAATGAAAAAAAAAACAATGAACCAAGAAACATTATAGCAGCAAAAGCAGAAGAAACAGCATGTATGGACAGAGGCAAAAGACATAAAAAATCTTCCTCTTTTCCTTTTGCATAGAATTGTTTGTCTTTCAATTTTTCCAGTTTTGCATTCCCTGCATGATTAATTGTTTATATTATCTTAACGAGATGAAGTAGCAAATCACTTTTGGGAGATGTCGGATGTTTTGGGGCAAAAGGCCTTAACAGGTTGGGCTGTCCCCACAGATTCTGAATTTGTGCTGTGCTTTATTGAACACCGGGTTTTGTTGTCAGTGAGCACAATGAGATTCAAGCAGTACAGACAATGCATTCCTTATTTACACGATGAGGTGAGCCTGTTTCAACCACTAGCATGATAAAAGATGTAGAATGGGCTTATATACAAGAGGAATTGCCTTCACATTACACACATCATCTTTCTACAAAGCAGTAATTCCCCCCCCCCCCGATAAATAATAAAATATTAAATAATTGATCGTTTTTTCCCCCACTTCCTGCATAGTCCATTCCAATGGAATCTATATGACTAACATTGTTTTTTTGTATAATATCATCGCATAAATCCCCATCTCAGTTCCTAATTGTAACTCTGCTTTACAATGCAATCTTTAACTGGAATTCAAAACAACCAGGGTCCAACACAGAAATTTCTTTGGCAAATGTAATGCACACATTCGCAGATGGCTCTTGAGGAAAGCTGGTAGATAGACCAAGGCACAACCTGGGCCTTTGCATAGGATGTTCCAAATTCATCTGCTTACTCTTCTAGTGATCATGCCAGGCCAAATCAAAGGTTGTGTAATGTTATCTGTGTCAATGGCCTGAAATTAAGCCAAAGGTTATGAACAATTACACATTCACCTTTTTTCTATCAATATTTTTTTTTTAAAAAAATATGAATATCAGATCGGATTATTCCAATTACTCGTTCCTTAATGATTTCCTGGGTTAGAGGTTTTCAAAAGATGAGATTATCCTTTCATTTTGGCATAATCAAGTTGAGGGGATACCCGAATAATCTTCAGAGATATGTTGGAACCTAACTGGTTTTTAGAATGGCTCAAATAGCTATTCCCAATTGTTTGGGAATCCATATTTTATGCTATTGTATGGGTAATTTTAAATATTACAATAACCAGTGTATTAACTATGTATGTTAACGATAATTGATTTTTTGTTGCCCTAAATCTTAAAATTAATTTGGGATAAGATGCTTAAAGGTGTAATTGAAATGATTTTTGATTGCACAATTTTAGTAGGCTGTAGAAGATATAAAAGAACAAGTGCATTTCCAGATCTTTTAATTTGGGGCTATGAATAAAAATTATTTTATTATTATTTTTTTTAAAAAAACACAGCCTAAAATGTAGATGATTTTCGTGATCCAACAATATCAACACATTTCAATGGTATTATGGAGAACAACAAAAGAGTTTCTGGCTCATGGCAATGGTCATTTTTGATCATCTTGCGGAAAGGCTCTATAAAGCCAAATACAACCATTTCTTATATCCACCCAATATTGACAATTCGTTGATTTGCAAAACCTCCTGCTTTAAGTTTGCTTGAAAGTGGATCAAGTGCCTCTTGATGAAGTCAAGATGTACCAAATGGGAGGCAGCAAGTATATCTAGTTCTCTATGAACACTTGTTCCTCTTTTACCTCAAAAGCTCCTAAGGAGAAGACCTTGCTTCTCTACAGAGGGTTTAACATTAGATGTACACAAGATACATATGAGCATCTTATGCTCCCTACAATCTTTTATGTAAATTATATCTCCTTTCTTCTCCAGATCTGACAGAACATCTGTACTGGTGGAAAAGAGAAGTAATAATTCTTCTCTCTCTTTGCTTAGGAGAAGGAAGGGAAAATCTTTTTGAATATTTTGGGAGATAGTGCTCGAGAGTGCAGGGAAGAAGGACATTGACAAAGATAACCTCTTCCCCCTTCCCTATATAGATTTAGGGCATTCTAGACTGGATTATATTGAGAGACTACACTAACTTGCTGAAGGAAATGCTAGATTTTAATAAGTCTGAAATTCACCATGAGCATGCACAATGTTCCATCCATGTTTTTATATGATTTACAATATTCTTACATTATGACATGAAACTTGCATAAATAAGGTATTTTAAGAATGGAATATTTCATATTGTTATGGCAAGAAGAGGTAAGATAGTTGGATGCCATCATCAGGAGATGGGGAATAAAACACATCCATTCCTCCAAGTTAGCAACCTTTTCTAGAATATTAACTGAACGAATTAAGCTAAATTCTCAAGATTCCAGATGCAACAAAGGAATTGCTGTGATAACTCAGGAAAAAAAAACTGATTAAAAAGTCCACTTCATTTGCATGCCATTCGCTAAGGGAGAATTACATGGGAATTAGAACACATAAGAAGAGACTTTGGGAATGAATCCTTTTGCTATAGAAGGCATCCTATGCTGTCACTTTTGTGGATGGGAATGAATTTCTTCATGATTCTCACTCTGGTAACAAGACCCTGCTAGACGTAGTCAAGTTTTCACAAATCTGAGTTTTAAAATTTCTTTTATTATGTATCTTATAACTTTTTATTTCAATAAAAGGGAAGGAAGGCAAGAAGCAGAGCAGAAGGAAGGCCATGATATTAGCACTTGAGATGCAACGGGCCCAAGCGAAGCCCTCAACAGATTTGGGCAACCGCAAGGAATCAGACAACTTATGGTCAATTGGGGTGGGGGTGGGGAATCTTCAAATTATTTCACACAGAATAGCAGGCTTAAGAATTGGTGAGAGTACTATGACATAGCAAAAAAAACAAAACAAAAAAACAAAAAACAAAAACCCAACCCAAGATAGGTAATAAGATTGATCAAGATAGGTGATAGGCCTTGAGTCTGATTTTTATATAACAAATATATTGTCTTGCATTAGATGGCCAGTTTAAAAGTGATTTTGAAATTTTAGATTTGGCATGAATTGGCAATGGCACGATCGCTTATCTGTCCATTCTCAAATCAAGTTGGGACCCCATTGTAAACCTGCTGGTGGTGGTGTGCCCTTTCTTTCATCACTGTAAATAAGAAAAGAAGGCATAACATTCTGGAAGTGAAATCTATTCTTCTGTACTTCAACATTTCTTTTGCACTATATCACTTCTCATACGTTTATTCCATCCTGATGTTTCTATAGGAGTGGCAGAAACTGAAAGGTAGAGAACCAAAAAAATAATCTCTGTTCTAAATGGAATTATTTGGATTCATTGTCAGTTGCCCAAACTGTTATTATTCCCCAGCGAAAAGCAATATATTTTGGCTGGCAACTAAACAAATGCACGTTACACATAGAGAATGGAACTTGAAACTTCTTTCTGAATTGTTGCCAAATTTGTGCACTGTGCAGACAGCTGCACAAAAAAGGTGCAGGTAGTCCTCGACTTGCAACCGCAACTGAGCCCAAATTGATGTTGCTAGGTGAGAAATTTGTTAAGTGAGTTTGGCCCCATTTTACGACTTTTCTTGCTGCGTTTGTTAAGTGAATCACTACAGTTGTCAAATTAGTGACACGGTTCTTAAGTGAATCTGTCTTCCCCATTGACTTTGCTTGGGATGCTGCAACTGTCATAAATATGAACCAGTTGCCGAGCATCTGAATGTAAATCACATGACCATAGGAATGCTGCAATGGTCGTAAGTGTGAAAAATGGTCATAAGTCTTTTTTTTCAGTGCCGTTGTAACTTTGAATGGTCACTAAATGAACTATTGTAAGTCGAGGACTACTTGTACTCGCTCTCCTCTCTGCCATACATGAATATTCCTGTGTGTGCATAATAGGAAAAGAATGAAACCCAGGAAAATGTGTTGGGGTGGTATTTCAGCTTATTCTGTCATGACTTTACTTTTTTTTTTTTTTTTTTTTAGAAAACTGGGGTTTTATTTATTTCCCTCCTCCATTTATAGACTTTCAGGGCAAAGCATTAAAAGCAGTTATATTTATATATCCACTTGGATCATTCTTCATTTTGACGATTGGTTGACACCACTCCATCTTTCTTTCTGACTTGAGTCTGAATATGTTTTACCGGTGTGATTGCTTGTTCACCTTCCGCTCGTAAGATTTTGACAAATACGATGGAAATGGTCAGTCTTCAAATGAGAAGAAAGCAAGACCTAATTATTTCAACCAACCTATATAGGACATGAGAGGGAACGTATCACGCGAGGAAACTTTTGTGAAATACAGTGGATGATGCACAGTCTTTCCCCCCCTTACATTCGGCTGAGCCGCACGGTTCCCTCAGGCTTCTGGAAATTTGACTGTTGGTCATTCTGAGTTCTTTTTCACAGATGATCGTTTTAGGGGGCAACAATTAATTTATAAGCAGCATTCTCCTCTGCCACTGGCTGCCCATACCCCTCTCCATTCTTCTTTCAGTAAGAGAAGACTCGTGTGGAAGAAACTGAAAAATTCACCAAGGAGGAGTCTGAAATATTGCAGTGGTATTAGCAACGGAGACAGCAGAACCACTGGCCACAAACTTGATTTTGCCCCTACCCAGTGGAGTAGCTTGGCTAGATTGCAAGGGATATGACATTTTCAATCTGGTGAGGTCAGTAAATTCTGCAATCTGAAAGAACACTGAGGAGCAGAAGGTGGAGGGAAGGGGGGTTGTTTTCTTCCAGGTGACGCAGAATGTCCATCAGACAGGTACAATATGGAGGCCTAGGCTGTCACCCTGCAGTTTCATGTGGTTTCCATGGTAGCTAGTGGCGGTCATAGGCAGCGGCAGCAGTGGGAGGTGCGGAGCCCCGGGATGTGGCACTATAATAATAAGGGGAACCTGAAAGTTAACACAGGAGAAGAATGGACTGATTGAAAGGACATACAGTAAAATAAAATAAGAAAAAAAGAAAGGAAGAAAAGAAAGAAAGCATATTAAAAGGAACTGGAAATAGAAATCTGGAAATGAGGATCTCTTTATGGCCTAGATGTAAAATAGGAAAACAACATACACAGTATATATGTAGTATATCATGCACAGGAAGCTAAGTTTCTTGGATTATCTAGTCTAGTGTTTGTCATCAGAGTCCTATTCAAGATATTCCACCTAGAACAGGGGTAGGCAACCTTGGCTTTTTTATGACTCGTGGACTTCAACTCCCAGAATTCCTGAGCCAGCCATGCTGAGAGGAAAGGGAGAGGTTTCCAAGCTGAGCCATACTGGCTCAGGAATTCTGGGAGTTGAAGTCCATGAGTCATAAAAGAGCCAAGGTTGCCTACCCCTGACCTAGAAGACGGAAACAAGAACCTGGCAGCTTTGCTTAGATTCATCTGTGGTCCTGTTAACTACCAGCAACAATTGAATATGTCTAATTTGTTCTTGCCAGCTTGGCTGTTTTTTAAATACTGGAAATTTCTTTTTTACTTCGTCATCCCTCTAGAAGCCTGCAAGAGTCGTTAATAAATGGGTGGTCTTAAAAAACGAGTAAATAAAAATGATTCTTCTCATTTCCAGTAAAATCTCCAAAACCATTCTGGATGATACTCAGTCCTCGTGGAGAAATTAGAAACTTGGAAAGGAAGGAGGGAATCTAACAATACTACCCTTTTTCCAATTCCAGTTGCAGAAATGCCCACCTTAGCATAAGCATGCAGGAAATATAAGCAACTTTATTATTTGGAATACTTTCCATTCTGAGGAAGTATATGAAGTACTAAAGTACTTTTTTATATAAAAAAAATCTGCCAGATCTGTGCAAAGCAGACTCTCAGTGTATAATATTAAATATTTAGCAACATCAGGCTTAGAACAGATCTGAAAATCAAGCTTAAAAACTGGTGATAGAATTGTTGATTGGGCTGAAGGTATCTCTGAATAAAGTGTAAGTTGTATAACAATAAATGTATAAGAGTCAAGGTGAGACAGATTTATTCAAAGAACTTTGGCAGCTGATCTTAAGAACTGAATTTTATGAAGCTTTAACTTTTTAAATAAATAGAAGGCACACGATATACAAGATTACACACAGATAATAGCAAGATTGCACTAAATGCAATAGCAGACCATATGACACACAATATATTTTATTAGTAGGTGTACACAGTCCCAATAATTTTCAAAAGATCTATGCTTTGTGGCATGATAGCAGTATTCCAATATCTCAGGGGCTGCCACAAAGAAGAGGGAGTCAAGCTATTTTCCAAGGCGCCTGAAGGCAGGACAAGAAGCAACGGATGGAAACTAACCAAGGAGAGAAGCAACCTAGAACTAAGGAGAAACTTCCTGACAGTTAGAACAATTAACCAGTGGAACAACCTGCCTCCAGAGGTGGTGAATGCTCCAACACTGGAAGTTTTTAAGAAGAGACTGGACAGCCATTTGTATGAAATGGTGTAGGGTTCCTGCCTGAGCAGGGGGTTGGAGTAGATGACCTCCAAGGTCCCTTCCAACTTTATTATTATTATTATTATTATTATTATTATTATTATTATTATTATTATTATTATTATTATTATTATTATTATTACTATTACTACTACTACTACTACTACTACTACTACTACTACAGAAATATGATTAACAAAAATATTTGTATATAATTTTAAGAAATATTTATCTATTTAAAACATATACAATTGCCCATTTTAAATCTGGACAGCTCCCAGTCAGAAATATGTAATTCTTAATTCATTATGTTAATGAATTAAGTTGGAAGTGGTCATTTAAACTATCAAGCCCAACCTCCACTGCGAGTGTACTGTGAGGGAGTTCATTAACATTAATGTTTTAAAGATGGGCGAACTGGGAAATAAAGTATTTGCTAATATATCCCAGAAGGACAGCTTTGTTAGATTCTTGCAGCAAAAAACAAGAATGGATTTTGTGATATCTTAAAAAAATGAAAGAAGGGGGGGGACTGGTAAAAGAGTGGATGGGATGGATAGGATGGACCATAAACAAAACAGTAGTCAGATGTGACATTTTGCACCAATGAGCTAGTTATTACATGCAGTATCTTATGATATCCTGGTCTCTGTTTAATCTGGGAGAAATAAAGTCAAATCTCATTGCTTTGAGGTGAAATATTTCTTTAGGATGGCCATGTTGAGGTAAGAAATAGTGTATCATGTCTAGATGTTTTTGTTTTGGTATGTATTTAAACAAATGTTGTCATTTTCCTTTTTATAGGACACTGTGGCTCTAGCTTCCTTGACATTTCTTTTATGGTTTGCTCTATGTGGGGGTTTTTTCCAGCTTTTTTGTAATTTTTTAAAGAAAAAATATTGCAAATGCTCAATGGTTTTATATAAAGGTCTTAAAATGTTAACAGTTTTATTTCACAACAACTAAAATAAGATTATTTCCCCTCAGTATCCATTACTTTATATGGGTATTATCCAAATTGGTGTGAAACTCAAATTCAGAATAAATCAGAAGAATTCAGAATAGACTCTTGTCTGAAGTAGAGAGGACAGCTCCAGTATGCCCTGTCCTAATTCAAAATTAGAGGAAACAGCAACCATCTCTAACACACCACACACACACACAAATTGTGGGCAGAATGTAAATATAAACACTTTGCCTAGATCAGGGGTAGGCAACCTTGGCCTAGATAAAAAAACATCTTGCTGAAAAGGAGAATACTGGATTCAGTGACAGGACTAGCCCAAAGTTAGTTCATTTTCAGTTTTTGGGGTTGGTGGCAGAATCATAATATATTTTAGAGTCCCCAGTACGATAGAAATAAATAGGAAAAAGAAAGCAAAGAAACAAGTAGAAGGGAAACAGAAAGGGATGGAAAAGGGTAGAGAAAAACCTGAGGGAATACTCACTTAGTAACGCAGGATTGCTGAACCTCCAGGCCTCATTGTAGGTTGTGTATTGAGGGTGGCTGTAAGGATTGCCTGAGAATTCACTCCCTGGAAAAAACACAGGAGGGTGTCATTCATACCACAATTCAGACAGAGAGGAAAGAGAACAAAATTGCATTAGTAGCTGACAAGGGAAGAGGAAAGTCATTAGAAGAAACATTGCAGCAAACAGGAAGGTCTTAAAAGTGGGTTGGCAAAGGAGACAAAATGGGAAACTGGGAAAAATGAAGCTTAGTCTAATACATAAATGTAATAAAGAGTTTTCAGGTGCAATTTCCTCTGGAATCCTCTAAGAAAGATCACAGCATGTCCAGGGACAAATTGCAGCCAGAGCAGTGTGGGAAGTTGTAAAAGCTTTCTCCCTTTGAGGTGGTTGAATCTAAGCAGAACTTCCAATAAGAAGGCAACCGGGCACTTTCCCAATAAAAGTCAGGTGGAAGGTTCTTGACAAGGCCCATTTATGTAAAAAGGGGGGCTTAAATGTAAGGTGACCAACCGTCCTCCTTTAGGGAGGACAGTCCTCCTTTTGTAAGTTCTGTCCTCCCTCGAAAAGTGTCCTCCTACATGTCCTCCTTTTCGATATTTGAAGACTAATCTGCAGGGCTTTTTTTTCTCATAAAACGCTCAGAACGGCGTTCCGGCATCTTTTTTTTATGGTTTTTTTTTCAACTTTTGCATGAGCTGTGCTACTCCCGCTATTGGCTTTCGAAAGCCAATAGGAATTGCTGCTGAGCGCGCCAAAACACCTGGCCGGCAAACTTTGCACATGCAAGTTGTCTGCAGCGAAAGCGAATTGACAGGAACTTTGCACCCCTCCCTGCTACCCAACTACACCATCTGCTAGTTAGTCCCAAAGATACCTAGAGGAGACTGCAGCGGTGATGCCATGGTAAGTTTCTTTTGATCTTCGGCCCTGCTAGGGCAATAATGTTGTTATTGTATAGTACTGTTTTTATTTACCTGTAAGCCGCCCTGAGTCCCTCGGGAGAAGGGCGGGGTATAAATTAAAGTAATAATAATAATAATAATAATAATAATAATAATAATAATAATAATAATAATAATAATACTCTAGCTCAGCGGTTCTCAACCTATGGGCCGCGACCCCATTTGGGGTCAATCAACCATTTCACGGGGGTCGCCAAGCAAGGCTGTCCGCCATTTTTTCCCCCTTTTCCGGCGGGTGCCTTACCTCCCTTGGGCTGGGCCAGCTGGTGGTCGGCCTGCTCCGTCTCTGCCGCTTGCCAGCTACGCCTCGGCAGGCGCAGGGGGCGGAACCACGCATGTGCGGCGCTCCCGGGCAGGGAAAGTCCTTGACTTACGACCGGTTGGGTAGTCCTTGACTTACGACCGGTTTAGTCCTCGACTTACGACCGGTTTAGTCCTCGACTTACGACCGGTTTAGTCCTCGACTTACGACCGGTTGGGGGTCGCGGCATTAAAAAGGTTGAGAACCACTGCTCTAGCTGCAGCACTTGCCGTAAAATTCAATATGAAGGATATTTCTTGTTCAGATATTTCCAATATATTGTTAGAAGATGATACATTGACAAAAGATATTCATTCAATGGAAAAGTACTCATTTAAATAATAATAGGCGTGTAAGCATAATTACAATATAAAATGTTATTGTTACAAATGTTTTTTTATTATGCATTTATCACATTATAGTGTATTCTGTATTATTGTTGCAATGAATAAAATGTTTCTTTTATTTACGATATTTTTTTCTTCAATTCATTTGTGTCCTCCTTTTCATTGTAAAAAAGTTGGTCACCTTATTAAGTGCTTCCTTTATTTTTCTATATTGTCACTCAATTTGTTTCTACATTCATTCTGAGGTGCAGGTTAAGTAAAGAACTTCTCACTCACTCTTCCTCTCTCTCTCCAGGCCAGTCAAAGGAAGGCAGAAGCACCATATGTGCACAATGTTTATTGACAAGGAGTTAAAGGAAACCGAGCTGGAGGATAATGAGCTTTTGAGCTCAATTGCGACCAAGAGGAACCAGTTATCTCCTTTTGTGATCACTAATGAAACATGTAATTTCCTCATCAATGCTAGATTCTGCTTAACTGCTCTCTTTGGAGAAGGCTAGGGCTGTGACTTGTTCACGGCACTCCTAGACCTTTTCTGTTGAAGCAGAAAATGCTCCAGAAAAAAACGCTCCAGAGGAAGAAATTAGGAAAGGCCAGTGACCCAGTAGGAGAAACTGAAAAAGCAAATGCTCCCAGAACATTACAGGCCTGCTCACTTAGTCACTTATCTCATTAGCAATAATGCAGAAACAGGTTTTGTATAAGAGCTCCAGTATCTATAAACCAAGAGACAATTAGAATCATAGGTCTGGAAGGAATCTCGGAGGTCTTCTAGTTCAGCCTCCTGTTCAAGGAGACTTTATAGCAGGGTTCTTCATACTTGGCCCTTTTATGACTTGTGGACTTCAGCTCCCAGAATTCCTCAGCCAGGCATGCCTGGCTGAGGAATTCTGGGAGCTGAAGTCCACAAGTCATAAAAGGGCCAAGTTTGAAGACCTCTGCTTTATAGCAACGGTTCTCAAACTTTTGGGCACCAGGGACTGGTTCCGTGGAGAGTGTTTTTTCTGAGGGCTGAGGGAGGGCTGGTTCCACACGCTTCCTGGATCCTGCATGTGTGGGATGGGGCTTTGCTTGCTTGCGTGATGTAGTTCCTGGTGGGCTGTAGACTGATGCTGGTCCGTGGCCCAGGGATTGAGGACCCCTGCCTTATGCCAACCCAATTAAATGGCTGTTGAGTCTGCATGATTATGGAGCACCCACAACGCCAGGAGGAAAGCTATTCCACTGATTAATTGCTCTCATTGTCAGAAAATTTCTCCTTACTTCTAGGTTGAATCTCTCTTTAACAAGCTCCCACCCATTACTTCTTGTCCTGCCCTCTGGGGCCCTAGAGAATAGGTCAATCTCCTATTCTTTGTGTCAGCCCTTTAAGTACTGGAAGACAGCTATCATGTCCCCACGGTCCTTCTATTCGATAGGCTGTACATGCCTAGCTCCCTCATTTGTCATATGATTTAGCCGCCAGACCCTTTATCATCTTCTCTGTAAGCTTTCTAGGGTCTCAATATCTTTTCTATATTGTGGTGACCAGAACTGAGTGCAATATGGCAAGTATGGTCTCAACAGTGCAGTGTAAAGCAGTACTATTAGGTTTTTTTTAACTCTATCCTTCTGATGATACAGCCTAGGACTGCATTGGCTTTTTTGGCAGCTGCAGGACATTGCTGGCTCATACTTAAGTAGTGATCCACTAGAACACCTAGAGCCCTCTCAGTTTCTACTGTTGAGCCATTTGGTTTTTCCTGCCTAAGTGCAGGACCGTACTTTTCTCACCACTCAACTGCATCTTGTTGGATAGGCCCAATGCTCAGGTCTGTCAAGATGCTTCTGAATCTTGACCCTATCTTGGTGTCATACGAAAATCTGATAAATTTGGATGATAAATTCTCCTTCTATCCCTCCATTTAATTTATGAAGATTTTGAAGAGTACTAGGCCCAAGACTGAAACTTGAGGTACCCCACTGCATGCTTCCCTCCATGTCGATGTAAGTTCCATTGAGACGTACCAGCTGAGTGGAGTTTGTCAGCCAATTGCAAATCCCCCTGGTGGTGATACTGCCTATCCCACATTGTTTTATCTTACCAAGAGTTAAGTTGTGGTCTACCTTGTCCAATGCAGCAAGGTTACTATGTCCACAGCACTTCACTGATCCACTAATTTATAGTTACTTTATCAAAAAAAAAAAACCAAACAAACCACCAATAAGATTTGTCTGGCATCATCTGTTTTTAACAAACCTATGCAGTCTTCTAATAATCATATTTTTTTTTCTAGGAGCTCACAAATCCTCTGCTTGATTTCCAAGATTTTCCCTGGTACTGATTGGGCTATAATTTCCTGGATCCATTTTTCCCCTTTTTGTAGATTGGAACCACATCAGTTCTTTTCTAGTCTTCTGGTATTTCCCTGGCGCTACAGGAGTTTTGAAAGATTACATTCAATGGCTCCAAATTGCATCTGCCAGCTCCTTCAGAAGCCTGGGATGTAAACCATCTGATTGAGATGATTTCTATTCATCCAGGGTGGATAGGTATTCTTTTACTTACTAATTCCTTGCCTATTTTGACTTATATACCTTATTCCATCTCCCTCAGTCCTGCTTTTAATAGGTTGGGCTGTTTCTTCGTTTTGCATAAAAACAGACACAAAGAAGGAAGTACCGGTAATCAGTTCTGCTTTCTCCCTGCTGCCTTTCATCTTCTTGCCATCTGCTCCCATTTGTGGGCCTATTGTTTCCTAGACTTTCTCCTTGTTCCTTACATATTGAATGAACTGTTTTAATTATCATTTTTGATATTGGTTGCTAGCTTTAGCTCATTCTGGCCCTTAGCCTTCCTGGCTCCCTCCTTGCAGATTTGGGCTGTTTGTTGGTATTCTGCTTTAGTTACAGTATATGTCTCTCTTTCCTTTTTTTTTTTACATTTAACCTTTTTGTCCCTCAATTTGTCAGAGAACTCTTCGTGCAACCATGCTGGTCTCATCTGGTCTTTCGTTAAGGGATTGCTCTATCAGCTTTTAGTGTTTTTGAGTGAAGGAGCATTGGACACATAGTAATTTTTAATAACAATACATGTAGAACTTAAGCAACAATAAACAATATTTTTTTTCATGCAATAGACCAGGGGTGTCAAACTCAATTTCATTAAGGGTCGCATCAGCATTGCGATTGCCCTCGGGGGGGGCTGGGGGGGTGCGGCCAGGGTGGATGGGGCCTACTGGGTGGGCGTGGATGGAGTGGGTGTGGCCTACTGGGTGGGCATGGCCAGCTCTACATCGTTCGCGTCAAGGGTGCCTGTGGGGGCCTGGGCAGGAGTGGGACAGATCTGAGGGTCTCTGGCAGAAGGGGGTGGGACCGGGGCAAGCGCCAAGGCATGGTCCATTTCTTCATTCCTCACAAAGGGGGACACCTCCCCAGCATGCACCCAGGGGGTGGGGCCGACACAGCAGGGGCTGGTTCCTCGCTGTTTCTAGACAGCCTTGTGGAGCTAAGACTGAATGCGTTTCAGCATAGATGGCCACCACAAAATTGTACATTGGCTCCCAGCCGGCCTGGGCCAGGGCCAAGGCAGCAGGGGCCGTTCCCTCACTGTTTCCAGGATGGCTTCGCGGGCCACATGAAACCACTTCGCGGGCCGCATCCGGCCCCCGGGCCTTGTGTTTGACATGTCTGCAATAGACCTACCGCAAATCACTGGAAACAAGGTCTGAACTTCATAGTGTCTTTAGACAATTCTCATCACTTTATTTACTCTCTCTCTCTCTCTCTCTCTCTCTCTCTCTCTCTCTCTCTCTCTCTCTCTCTCTCTCTCTCTCTCTCTCTCTCTCTCTCTCTCTCTCTCTCTCTCTTTTCCAAGTTATACATTTCTAGTTATTTAGATTCATCTTTGCTGCTTGAAGCTCTTGTGGATGTTTTATTCAAATACACAGTGATCTGCCAGCTATCTACCAATCACCAACAGCTATCAAGCAGTCGTTTCTCCACTAACTTTTGGTGACCACCTAAGTTATCCAACTATAGTTGTGTTGCTATGGCCTCCATGATATCTGGGTGATGTCAGAAGCTAGCAGTGTCTATGTCTGTGTCCAGAAATATATTTGTTCGTGATCAAACAATGAGCAAATAATGAAGTCGGAGCTGCTTTGGAAGGCTATTTCAAATCTTGCATGCCACCCTTTCTTAAAAAAATTGCCGCGTTACACATTTTATGGCAGAGGGCTTGAAGAAAGTGTTCTGTAGTGATTGGCAAGTTCATAACAAGAGATCTCTCTGTGTGTATTGGTAGGGGGAAAAGATACAGTTGAAATATTTTAAATTCAGGGCATTTAGGATTTCAGTTATTTAAACCTACCGATTGATATACCCCATCCCTATTATCTGTGCTACTCTTATACATCATACTAATTGCCACTAGAATCTTTAATTACCCCATCCAGTGAAATGTTGAAAATATTGGAAGCAGAAGTCCTTGCAATACACTATATATTAAAGACCCAAGGTAGTATGTTACCCATGAGCCCTATCTTTGCCAAATATCATGGTATTGGTGTCCATGATATTGAAAACCATGAAAGGCGGATCCACCAAAAAGAAGGAATTTTGCAACTTAGCCATCCATTTGGCAGCTTTTCTAGAAAGGGGTGTAAATGCATCACAGCAGCAAAATGATTCCTCCCACTCAACAGTCCATGCTACTGTTATTGGATATAAGTGAACATGAGAGTCAGGTCTAGTGGTTAAGGCACCAGGCTAAAATGCAGGAGACCATGGTTTCTACTTCAGCCCTAGCCATGAAAGCTGCCTGAATTGGACCAGTCTCTTTCACCCAACTCACCTCACCCTATTGTTGTGGGGAAAATGGGAGGATGTGTTGGGTGTGTTTGCCACCTTGAGTTATTTGTTAAAAAATAACAAAGGCAGGATACAAATAAATAAATGAATGAAACATCCACTTCCAATTTTTCTTGCTCAAGGCTGAGACATGTGCATGTGGTCAATCTTGCAATAGGAGCACGAGGCAGTCTTGGGAGGTCATCTCCCTCTATTGATAGAATTATACTTCCAAACAAAATTGATTTCCTTAATACAGTGGGAATCAGAACTGAAAATAAATAGCATTAGGCAAAAAAAAAAGAAAAGAAAGAAACCACACACACACAACCCTCTGGAATTGGAGTTGATCAAACTTACTGAAATGCCTTTCCAAGTAAGCCTTTAAAAAAAAACAAAACAAAAAACTTATTCACTTATCTAAATAAAACTGATGGGAAGCAAGGAACCTTACCAGGCACCATTCCTGCAAGAGTTGAGGTTGGGTAACTGCCTTGTCCAGTTGGTGGAACATGTGGTGGGTAGCCAGGCAAGGTTGTGCTGGCCATGTCACGACCTAAGAAGAAAAAAATGAGGAAGAACTGAATAATAATAATAATAATAATAATAATAATAATAATAATAATAATAATAATAATAATAATAATAATAATAATAATAAAGTTGGAAGGGACCTTGGAGGTCATCTAGTCCAACCCCCTGCTCAGGCAGGAAACCCTATACCATTTCAGACAAATGGCTTTTTGTTAGATAGCGCCCAGTGTTCAAGTCTGTCCAGATCCTCCTGTATTCTAAGCCTGTCTTCGGGAGTGTTGGCTATTCCTGCCAGCTTGGTGTCGTCTGCAAATTTGATGATTTCCCCATCTATCGCCTCGTCCAAATCGTTGATGAAGATGTTGAAGAGCACTGGGCCCAGAACAGACCCCTGGGGCACCCCACTACACACTTCCCTCCATGTAGATGCGGTTCCATTGAGGACTACATGCTGAGTACGGCCGGTCAGCCAGCTACGGATCCATCTGGTGGTGATGCTGTCTAACTCACTTTTTTCTATCTTATCAAGTAGTAGGTTGTGATCAGGGCTTTTTTTCTCATAGAACGCCCAGAACGGAGTTCCGGCACCTTTTTGGGATGGAACCTTGTAGGGTAGGCAAGGTGGGTTGTATGACGTATGTGAGTTCCGGCACCTCTACCCTAAAACTACTCATTCTCATCTTTAGTGCTCAATCTATGCCGTATTTTGGTTCCTCCAGATATTTTTAAATTTATCACTTTTTATTAAATCTGCAAAAACAGACAAAAGGATACTTTTACTTTTGTCCGTTTTTGCAAAGTTAACAAAAGGCGATACATTTAAAAAAATATCTGGAAGAACCCAAAGTTCAATAGACTACAAATGCTATATATGGCGATATAATTTGGTACATGATATCTTATTTGGTGACAATGCCCAATTATTCAGTATTTTGGTCAAAGCTTTTTTTTTTTAAAAGTTGGAAAAAAAGTCTTGACACCCTTTTGTCATGAATGGTGAGGTTTGCTTACTACTTATATTTCCTTACACTACCTACAGTACCTTATTCAGCATAAGAAATTGTTTCTGTTTTATGGATAATGTATAGATTACACCAAGGCATTTGAAAAAAACATGTATCTTTTGTTAGTACTTAAAGAGGCATAGATTATTTACCTTTAATTACTCTATATATGATGGGGGTTAAATAATATTCAGGTATATTAAGTGCATCACAGAATTCTCCTGTTTTTAATACATGTAATATGATTTTCACTACGTCTCCAAACAAATGTAAACCTCAGTCAAGAAGGATGACTTCGGCAATATTCCCACGTTGTAGGTTAAGCCGAAGGAATAAATCACTTAAAATCCATAGAAATCCCACCGCTAGAATCCTAGAGTTAAAAACTTTGGCCACGAAGCCCAACTTCCTGCTCAATGCAGAAATCCAGATTAGAGTCCCCCCATTCAACCTCTGCTTTAATCTATCCAGCAGAGGTAATTGGCTCAACTTTTAAGTTAGCTACATTTTAAGTGGTTGGCACTAAGTTTGGGTTATTTCTTGCAACATGGAAACGGTGATTGTAAGATGGCAATAAAAAAGAAACCCACGTCATGTTATATGAATGAGGCCATCAAGTTAAACTCTAGACACAGGTAGTGCTTGACGTATGATCGCAATTGAGCCCAAAATTTCTGTTGCTAAGTGAAACATTTGCTAAGTGAATTTTGCCCCATTTTACGACCTCTCTTGCCACAGTTGTTAAGTGAATCCCTGCAGTTGTTAAATTAGTAACATGGCTGTTAAGTGAATCTGGCTTCCCCATTGACTTTGCTTGTCAGAAGGTTGCCGAAGCTGATCCATAACCCCAAGGCACTGCAAACATCGTAAATAAGATGTCTAGAAAGCTGAAGACAAAATATAAGAGGAGCAGCGTAGCTTAAAGTTATTTTTAGCCGTGCCAATTTTAAAGAAGCATTTTTCCTCCTTTTATAACACAAGTTCTGCAACGGAAACAATTTCGCTTACTTCATTGACAGTGTGGTTGATGATGTGGTCAGGGCCTGAACTATATCTAGCTCCTCTTGACCACTTTAGGTCGTTAATGGGTACACCATTCCTCTCCAGTCACTGGGCGCTAATGGCCATTTTTGTCTTTTTTTGTTTTGTTTTGGAGAAAGAGATCAGAGAGGCTGTCCTGCAGTGTCCAAAAGGTTTTCTGAAGGGCTGGTCAAATCTTCCACAGGCTACTTATAATGTAGTAAAATGAACAATTACTAGAATAATGATTTGTCTGCATAACTAGAATAATGATCTGTCTGCATAATTGCTAGAATAATGATGTAATGCATAATCACTGGGAAAATTCACTGGGAAAGTTCTGTGTCAGTAATATGTGGCTAACCAAATGCGCATTGCACATGGATACTTTGTATGTAGCAAAACCTTCCATTGTATGCCCGTGAGAAACGATCCAAATGCATTACAGTGTATTACCATGTGTAGTCCCTTTGTTCCTGAAAGAAGGATAGTATAAAACTGAAGTCTAATCCCGCCCTCCTTGTTCAGAATTGCATGTCTCCATATGCCTCTGAACCTGCGCAAATAAACTTCTGTGCTAACCCCTCTGGAATTCGTAAGAGTTCTTTCATTTTCCACAAGACTTATATACACAATTGCTCTTTTAAAAGAGTGCTAAACCTGTATCCAAAATTAGTCCGGTTGCCAGATCAAAAGAACTCCATTTTCTGCCAGCTTCAGCCTGTGCTCTTCCTGCTTGCCAACCCTCTCTTAGCTGTAGTATCTTTGGACATGATCAAAAGCGCTCTAGACCATGTTAAAATATACCTCAATGAAAAGTTGCAGCCGCAGAGCATCTGCTATTCAAAGCACCTACAGTAGCGGCCAGAATTGTGGAAACCTTTTGGGAAAAGTGTACAGTAGAAATGCCACCTTTGCTTAAGTTTCCACCCATTTTTCTTGTAATTTCTTTATAACTGTAGCCTCGTTCACTTAATAATACTATTTTACATCGCTTTCTGGGTGACCAGTCAACTCTTTGCACCATGACTTTAATTTTATTATGTTTTACAAGCTCACTAAATGAAAGAACACAAAAAAACCCAACCGACTTGATAGCGATCACATAACACCCTGACCAATATCCTCCTCTCAGCTTCAATACATGAACAAAAATAACTGACTCCTACTGTGATCTGATTGGCTCGCTGCCAAAACAAGATGACACCCGATTGGCTCTCTAAACACTCGTGCTCATTGGCTACAACCAGATGAAGGAAAGCTACCTGAGATCAACCTAAGCAAGTTGTGCTTCCTTTTTCTGGTTATTTGGCTATAACTTTTCATAGAATACAGTACAGATAATTGAAAAAACTATGCTGCATTATGTTCTTGATTAAATTATCTTTCCATTGATATATAATTTTATGGTACTACTCCAAAAAATAGTGGTGTTATTAGCCATCAAACCTCAAAAATACACTTTTCCCAAAAGGTTTCCACAATTTTGGCCACTACTGTATCTATTCTTGACCAACCCCATTTCACCCAATCACTGTGGTTGTTTTTCCATGAGAGAGGAAGCAGCAGTAGAATCTAGTAATCATTCCCCTTGACTTTCTTACATGAAAACTTTAAGAAATATATTATTTTCTAACCTCATTTTTCTAGGCAAAATAGAGTTTGGCCCTCAGACCAAATTTGCTGGCCAGCAAATTTTATGCCAACATTTTTTTTTAAGTTAAGGAGTGGGGGGCTGTAGTTTAGTGAGATTGTCTGGCTGTATCCTCAGTTGTGCAGATGAAGTAGAATAATAGCAGATCACATTGTGAGTCATTCTAGATGAGAAGGTGCCTTTTAGTTCCTTGTTTGTTTGTTTATTTATGTCTATTGTGTGTATCCTCTACAGAGACCAAGACAATTTAGGATACATATCCATCAAGAAAAAAAAAAAGGGGGGGGGTTATTCCACAGGTGGGGTCAGAAAACCCTCAATTCTGAGATTTCATTCTAAAAAGATGGCTGTAAATCTAATATTAAAAATACTCGAAACCAAGCAGAAAACTAACCAGTATAATTCAGTTAAATGATATTTTGAAAAATCTATTTTAAATCTATTTTATTTTTGTATCTTTTAAACTGGATCAAGTCAGACTTTTCCAACTCCACAGTTCTTTTGCTTTACAGAAACTTGGCTAAATGAAACAACAGAAGGTAGTAGTCTGCAACTCCCAAGATTTCAGTTTCAGAGGGCAGACCGAGTTGTAGAAACATCCGGGGTGGAAAGAGAGGGGGGTAACTGCTTCTATGTTAATAACCACTGATGCAATGATGTTACTTAGAAGTGGACATGTGGACTTAGAAACACAATTCATCAATTGCAATCCTTTTATGCCCCATGAGGGCTCTTTTCACTCATCTTAGTTGGGGTTTATATACAGAGAATGAGGTGGCTGGATGGAGTCACTGAAGCAGTAGGCGTGAGCTTAAATGGACTCCAGAAGATGGTAGAGGACAGGAAGGCCTGGAGGAATGTTGTCCATGGGGTTGCAATGGGTCGGACACGGCTTCGCAACCAACAACAACAAAATATACCACCTCACGCTTGCATAAACAGTGCATTGCAAACCCTAGTTGACCAAATCTTGTGAACAGAACAGAGATATCCAAACTCATTACTCATTTTGGGGGATTTTAACAGTGCTAATCTAAGTCAGGGGTTGCCCAGATACGCTCAGAATGTCACCTGTCTCACTAGAGACAAAAAATATTTTAGACCACTGCTACTCTACATTAAAAGATGCTTATCACTCTCTTCCCAGAGCGGCTGTGGGCCACTCTGATCATCGCATGATTCACATTGTACCCGCTTAAAGACAAAAACTTACAACTGTAAAACCTGCAGTCAAAACAATGAAGTCTTGGCAAAGTTGGAGTTACAGACTTGCCTTGATTGCACAAATTGGAACGTTTTTGAAGCTGCTTCAGTGGACTTTGATGAACCCAGTGATACTGATAC